TCATTCATAGGAAAATGGATACATATTGAAGATATACTCCTAAGTGAAATAAATAAGTCACACATGTGTAAATACCAAATAGTTTCCCTGGTGTGAATAATCTGCAACAATGCATAAGATTCTAATAAGATTACTGACATTTAGAAATGGGAAGAAAGGAGCTAAAGGTGTAGGGAAGGTGGGATGGGTAGGGGAAGAGTAAAAAGGGAAAAGAAAAAAATGTGAGAGAATGAAAAGATGAAAATAAAGTGTTTGTAGATGGGGAGGGAGGAGGGGGTGAAAGGAGGGCAGAGGTAAGGGGAAAAAATGAGAATCGAGATTTGTCATGTAGAGGTACAAGATCCCAACAATGAATGTAACTGTACTGTATCCCTAAAATGTACCAATAAACTCAATTAAAGCTGAAAAAAATAAATAAATAAAAATAAAATGTAGGACATGACGTTTTTATATATAGGGCAGTAGCATTTACTAGACTTCTCCTTGGGACCACCCACAGGTAGAGGCTGCAGACAGAGGCATTCATTGGTCTATATATTCTTTGCATTTCCCGCAAATTCTCTTCTCAGGAGCTTTGAGGTTGCATTTGAGTGCTTGTGAGCTGCTTTCCTGGCTATTCCTCTTCCATCAGACTCCCTTGGAATTCATGGAGTTGTTTCTCAGTTTCTAGGCTGGAGTTGAATTCCAGAGCAAGGAGAGGCACAGCCAGAGGGAAATGAAGAATAGTGAGGCTCCAGGAGATCTTGCAGTCATTATCAGGTGGACAGACTCAGCTGCGCTTCCCACAGCCAGGTTCACAGGCAAAGAAAGAGCTCACACATGCACACACATGAATGCTTATTAAGGTGTCCAGACACTTGGAATTTTACAGATGTTGAAACAAATTTGAAGGGCCAAAGACAAAGTAGCTTGTATTTGGTTGTTCCTTAATGGAAAACATTTGTTCTTCTGGCTTTGTGAGAAAAAACAATGTGTTTCCAATTTCAAATCATCATGCTCAATGTTGATAAACACAGGCCAGTGACCAACCTTTCAAGGTGCAAGAACATGGCCTCTTTGCTCAAGAAAGGATTTCTGAAAGCAGCTGGGTAAAGCTTGAGACCTACAGAAAGCCCAGGCTTCCAGAGTGGAGGAAGCAGGTAGTACATATGTATATCTCAAAGGTAAACCAGACCACACCAACCTGGGGAGCAGAGGCTGACCATAGAACCCCTCCTGCCACTGCCCCGCACTGTACCATCACGACTGCCATTCACAGACATACTCATTATTTATTTGCTTCTTTCAGGTAAAGTTTGATTTCCAAAAGATCCCTTTGAAAATACATATGCATTAGCATTTGAAAACGGATGGGCCCCACAACTTGGGTACGCTTTGCCTTGGAAAGCACATGATAGATCCATCTCTGAAGAGGAACTGGGAAAGATCATGGATGCTGGGGCAGCCCTATTTCCTCATCCTCCAGGTTCTACGAGGAGTCTCCCAGGCTCTCTCTGCTCTCCATAAGAAACAAATAGGTTTCTCCAGCTGGCAGGAGGATCAGGGGTGGAAATGATGTGTTAGAGATGCAAAATGATAGCTGAACTCCCACTTCCTGGATGCTGAGTGGGTGTGAGTGGTACTGAACTCTCCTGGCACTGGCTACGTGGGGTCTGCCCTGTGGCCATGTTCACTCCAGAGATAGCCTAGCTGGGCCCAGGGGCAGGAATTTGGAAACCTCATTTTGGTTGTCCAGCTCTGCTACTCCCCTAACCACTATTTTTGATCCCTACCTAGGATCTGGAATCCATTTCTCAAAAACGGTTTCAAATCCAGTGGCAAATTAGGATTACAGCCGTTGGAGTGCCTCAATGCCAAAGTCAGCCAAAAGGCAATGTAGAGACACTGAGTGTACAGTGTTAAGTCTTAAGCCACCTTGGTGGCCTGGGCCAGCCATGGATCACACTTACAGTTTTGTCTTTCCCAGCTTCCAACAGGGTGTCCAGGCGGCTAACCCCACTCACAATCAGTGGCTCAAAAGTCAGTTTTTCAACCCAACTGATGGCTGCAGCTATGGATTGCGGTGTCACAGGCATGGCATGCTTCTCCCATTTCACAGGCACTTGAGACACCCTGAAAGGAATCACATGGAGCGGTCACGGGAGAGTGATTGATGGCTGGCTCAGAGCCAGGGCAGCAAAGACAGGAAAACACAGCAATCCCAGCTCCTGGTCCTCAGAAAGCTACTAACAAAATGTGAGCTGCAGAGGAGAGATCTGACTTATCAAAGAGAAATATGCTTTCTGAACACACTGCATAACTCCCAAGCACCACTGTCTCCTCTAAACTGTACTGACTGGAAAAATGGTGTTTATATGAGAATAAAAAACCTACATGTTAACAAGTGCTTTAGAAATATTGACAGAAGTCATTTTCATGAATAGGTAGATTTATATGAAATGGTCTTCTACAAATAGCAAGTTTATAAGAATTCACAGTACTGACATTTTGCAAATTACTGCTCTAAATTTTTATATCTAAATCTTTCATAACATGAATTTTTTTGCCCTGAAAGAGTCCCATCAGTTACCTTTTTGGGGATTAAAAAATAGTATTGCTTTGAGTTTAACAGAGCATTCATTTATAAATCTGGAGAAAATGTGGTCCATCTATTTAGTTTGGGCTTAGAATCGATTGCTGGAAATGCCACACCTCAAGAAAAGGAGCCATTTGAAGTTATCTGTGTTTATAATTGCAGATAAATTAGTCTGATGTCCCTCCTGGCCCACCTCTGGAGGTTAAGCTGGTTCCTATTGTGTCCCCTCATGTGGTTTCTCTGAGTAGAGAAATCTAGCAGGGTGACATGTGCCACAGTAAGTGCTCCAAGAAGGCATGAAAAGGCTTTGCAGACTTTAACATGTACTTTCTTTGATCATATACCTATGACAGAAACAGATATCTGGGGAAAAAAACAAAATAAACCATCATCTCCAAAGATGCTTTCTATTAAGCTGAAAGTTTATTTAAAAAGGAAAAACTCAATTAGGTAAACAAACTTCCCACCCAGCACAGATGTTTCTTGTTAGGGAGGTGTAACCACTGTTCCCTGTTCCAGATGAGAAGTCATCAGGGAAATCCAAATTCTCATGAATCCAAGAATCCATAAATAATTGATTCTCAAACTCTGAAATATGGGAAATTCTATAAAGGCAGCCACCTGTTGGTCTGATTAAACAACAGGACTGGTCAACTTGAGTTGCAAATTCAGTCTGGGAAAACAGTAAATTTTGAATTCATTATCCAAGATTAAATCTAAAACAAGAAATGTGTGGCCTTAAATATGGATTGAATACGAATGTAAAATTCATATGTTCATGTTTTGACCTTCCCAAACATCGAAGAAAAAGTATGTTTCTAAATCTGGTAATGTGAAAACTAAGATGCCCCCTGCCAAACAGATAAAAATTTCCTAAGATTTATTAATTGCGGCCTTTCTGCTAAAATTGTATATTCTATGAAATTCTAATGCCTCCTCCCCCACCATAGTGCTATGTTAGTGATACTTAACTCCAAATGTGCAAGTAGTATGAAATTTCACTGAGATAAATGCTTCATCTGGGAACTCACCATAGGATATTGAACTTGGTTATGTGGGCCACCTGCTCCTGGAGGACCATAGTCAGAGCGTCTTGGCACAGATCAAGCTCCCCCTCCAGAAGGTCACCCCAATCCAGCACTATGGTGATGCACTGTTCCAAGATGATGCCAAAAATCTGCCGGCTTCTGCTGGTGAGCCAGTCCATCCGCCGCTTGTAGCTCTCCACAGCTTGTGCTAAATGTTCCACAAGCTGATAGATCAGTTCTGATTTAGCTGTCAGCTTAAAGGGAAGCAAAAGTCAAAAAGATGACACCAAAGTAAGTCAGCAGAACCACAGTGCCACCACCAAAAACTGTGCATTAAGAACAGTTCTATACATGACCCTCCCACTACGCAGGACCCAGCAGGAAAGGCTCTACTGTTTCAGCTGGAAAACCTTTGGCAGGTTCCCTACAGAAAAGGGAATACAAAATACAGCCCTCTTTTTTTTTTTAATGTTTCTAGATCATGGTTTATCTTTACAAATTATAAGAAAATTCTTAAGGGCACTTTTAAGAAGTTAAATAGGAAAGAGAGAGAGAAAGAGAGAGAGAGAGAGAGAGAGAGAGAGAGAGAGAGAGAGACCAGAAAAAGGAGATGAAAAAAAGGAGACTCACTAAAGAAAAAGCTTCCCTAAGCATAAAATGTCAAAATATTTCTTAAAATGTTTCTAAACATGCCAACATGCCTGTCCACCTTTCTTTAAAGGACGCCAGCCCAGTCACTCATCCTCCTGCTCATAAACTTTGTTTCCCTGTGTCCTCAGTCTCAAAGATCAAGCCTCCCTGTATCTGGATCACCCATTCACTCGCAGCTGTCTCCAACACCTCAGGACCCTCAGAAGGTGGCAGAGACTTGGTAGGCAATTTCTCCCATGCACAAATAAATCATCCTTCACAGAGATTATACACAAGGATGCAAAATTGTTCAGGGTGTAAGAAAGATGCGAAAAAAGAATTTAAAAATTATGTAATGAGTCAAATTTTAAAAGATCTGGTGCCTTTTAAATTAATGTTAACAATTACTAGAGCACCCCACACACACCAAATGCCCCAATTGTTAAGGGAAATGTGCTTTCTGAATGCACTGTACAATTCCACATTTTCATGCCTCATCACCTTAATCACCCAGCCTAGTCTCTCTCAAGCTCATGGCTTAACTTCTCCGTTCCTGCGCAGGGCCCCTTAAAGCAGTATTCCAAATTCCCTCAACAGTTTCTGCAGCCTGGGCCACAACACAGGAAGCTTGCAGGACAGCTCACAGGGATATGGAGGTGGACTTCAGTGGCAGTGAAATAGACATTTTTAATAGCTAGGTAGGGATTTTAAATGAGGTTCAGTAAAAAAATAGCACACCAAACTCAAGGTTCCATAGAGATTCTCATTCTATGTCAGGCCTAGTTGAGAATTTAATTTAGATTTTAAAAACACAGTTAACCCTCGATACCTACAGATTCAACATCCTCAGATTCAACTGACCCAGAATGGAAAATACTCAAAAGCAAATTGCTTCTGTATTGAATATGAGCAGGCTTTTTCTTGTCATTGTTCCCTAGACAATGTCGTGTGACAACTATTTACATAGCATTTACATTGTGTGAAGCATTACAAGTCATCTAGAGGTGACTTAAAGTGCACAGGAGGATATGTGTAGGTTATATGCAAATACTATACCATGTCATATGAGGGACTCAAGCATTTGTAGAGCTGTAGCTGAAGGCAGAGGACTGCAGGCAGATGTGCTCACATTCTCCTCTTCAACCTGCTTCTATAACGTAATGGTAGCTCTGGCCTGGCTTTAACCCGATTTCATAGATTCCTGTCATATTGTCTTTCCTCCCTTATTTTTAAGGCAAAACAAAGTGCTGATATGAAAAAGTTTTCATCTCTGGTCAAGAGCACTCTGTAGTAATCTTTTACAGGTCAAGGGCATCCTTTGGCAGCTCCATGGCCATGATTTGCATCACTCTACCGCTGCCCAAAGAAAGACTTCACTCTGAACCTCCCATCTTCTGGGACCCAATAGCACCTCACACAATGTCCCAGGACCTGTGCACCAAGGAAATTTCACTTACATTGTAGACTTGGCCATCTTCTGCCCTGTGGAACTGTGGGAAGAGGCCATCAGCGTACCGAGAAGCCACAGGTCTCCCCAGAGAAGTCACATAATCTGCATTTTTATGAAGAAAAACAAGATAGGGCATTATTAAACTTCTTATTTTATATTCTAAAATAATTTTTCTGACACCATTCAAACCCCAGTGATGATATGTATTCTGTTCTAAATCATGAAGTATTTCTAGGTGCTATGATAAAGGTAACTTTATGATGTGTAATCTTTTCATGCACAAATGAATAAAAAGGAAGAGCATAATTTGTTCTAGTTCCTTTTGTGAAAAATTATTAAAGCAGAGGTCAGAAAATACAGAAATTGTGTTTAATTCATGAAATCTTTATTCAAGATTTGCACTTGTCTTTCAGAACTTTAAAAATTCAACTTCTATACTCTCTGTTATCTCAAGTGGAGGTTTAAGGCTAAATGGGTAAAATGAAGGAAGCAGGTAATAGATTCAGAATAGCCAAACACAATGTGAGAAACACAAGATTTTCTTCTCATCAAATTATGTGCTCATCAGTGCATGTGTATTTATTGAGCACCCACATGCACTAGGTACAGGGCTTACAAAATGGGCATACGATGTTGTCTGAAACGTATTCCTACTGCTTCATGGAATTACAAGTAGTCTGTGGGAGCTGTAAGGACTGACAAGGACTTGGCAGGGCAGAAGGAGAAGAAAGGCTTCACCAAGATGTTTTGATCCTGCTGTTGCTGGCTTTACTGTGTTTGTTGCTGTTCTTCTTATTACTAATGTTCACTCCCCAAGGTGGTGCTCTTGATCCCAGTACTTCCCTTCTGCCTGTCTAGGAAGGAAGGTTAACAACCTAATCTGGAAAGGCAGAAAAGTCAAGGGTGAATTTTATAGGCTCCCTGGCCGGGATCAGTCCCAAATCACAAGAGGTGATAAAATTTATGAGTTTCAAAGTCCAACTCTTACCATAGTAAAGTGTAAAGAAGGGATGCTTGAATTTCACCAGCAATGACCCCACTCAATAGACCTCTCAGTCTAAAACCTCTTTCCAAAGTGTCAACTCCTGATAAAGGGACATCACGTCATCAGCAGCATTCTCTCTACCTGGACATTTACCTGGGCTCAGAAAGGGGCTATTTCTTGAGGCTTGGAGGAGATAAGTCTAGGAAAGTTTAATAAGCTTTACTGAGAGTCAAAATGCAAGACATTGTGAGCTATGCAGCGATGGTGGTATGGTAGGTTTTACTGACTAACCTTTAGTCAATGATAAGTGCAGAAAAAGCTATTTGAAGGCATTAGAGAATGAACAAGATCAGGCAGAAGCTGGAGTAGGCTTCATCCTCAAAAGGAAGACACTGTCTAGTGAGATTGTATTTATTCAGCAAGAGAGAGAGAGAGTTTAAACTTTGGGTTCAGCGAAATGAGATGCCTATTAGAATACAAACCAGTTATCTATCAAGTGATAGATAAATAAGCACAAACTATGGTATATCCATATAGTGAAATATTCTATGGACATAAAAGGAATAAAATATTGGCAATGATAAGATATTGATGGACCTTTAAATAAATTATGCTAAATGAAAGAAGCCAGTCACAAATGACCATATACTATGAATTCCACTTATATGAAATGTCTAATACAAACAAATTTATGGAGACAGAAAGTAGATTGGTTATAGCTTGCAGGTAGAAGTGACTGGTGAGAGCAGAGGAGAATAGGGTGGTTTCTTTTGAGGTAGTAAAAGTAGACTAATATTGACTGTGGTGGTGACTGCATACATCTAGGCACATATACTAAAGACTATTTAATTGTACACTTTAAATGCATTAATGGTATGTGAATAACATCTTAACAAAGTCATTTTTAAATCAACTTTTCAAAAATATTTTTAAATAGCTCTTCTAAGGAAGAGTTAATAAAACCCAAAGCCTTTACAACCACTCACACTGTCCCAAAATAAAATAAAAAATTATCAGATATACAAAGAAACCAGGAGCCAAAGGGAAGAACAGTCAATAAAACTACCTTGAGATAAACCAGACATTGGAATTAGCAAACAAAAGCAAAGATATTCACATTATAAATATTATATGTATATATACATATCAAATATTTATATTGCAACTATTATAAATATGTTGAAGAGAAGGAAAAATATGATCATAATAAGTGAACAAATGGAGATCTTAGAATATGAAATGAAAGCATGAAAAGGAAATTTTATTTATTGTTTATGTTCTACATTTTAGCTGTATGCATTTCTCTAATAAGGCCATATTTGCAGTACCTAATCATTACATTTATTGTAGGGAGCTTATACATGTACATAATACATCTTAATTCTTTTTTCATCCCTTTCCCCTCCCATTCTTTCCTGTTCCCTCCAATTCTAATTCCCTTTCCCTTTGACAAAAGCTTTATCTCCACTTTGTTCAATGTTTTTTCATCCCTTTCCCTTTCCTCCCTTCCACTTCCTCCATCTCTTATTCCCCTGCCCCTTTGAAAAAGTTCTCCCTAATTCCTATCACATACTGTTTATTTTTCTCTTTATTTGTATTTTAGTTTCTCATATGAGAAACTATGCAATATTGAAGCTTATGTGTCTGATTTCTTTCACTTAACATTATGGTCTTGAGGTGCAGCCACTTACCTACAAATGCCTCAAGTTTACCTTTCTTTATTGCAGAGTACTGTGTATAAATGTCACATTTTCTTTATCCATCCATCTATTGATGGGCATATAGGCTGTTTCCAAGACTTAGCTATTATGAATTGTGCTGCTATAAACACAGACATGAATGTATCACTGAAATATGATGACTTTAACTCTGAATACCTAGAAGGGAAATAGCTAGATCAAATGGAATTTCTATTTTTAGGTTTTTGAGAAATCTCCATACGCATCTCCATAGTGGTTGTACTAGTTTACATTCCCACCAACAATGTACAAGGATTCCTTCCCCCCACAACCTTGCCAACATTTGTTATTATTAGATTTATTGATGATAGTCATTGTTTTTGCAGTAAGATGGAATTACAGTGTTGTTTTAATTTGTATTTCTCTTACGTCCAGTGATATTGAACATTGTTTCATGTACTTATTGGCCATCTGTACTTCTGTGAAGTGTCTTATTAATGTTGTTTCCCTGTTTTTTTAATTGGACCTTTTATTGTGGAGGTAATTTTTTTAGTTCTTATATATTCTAGATGTTGGGCCTCTGCCTGGGGAATAGTTTGAAAAAAATTTTTTCCCATTCTGTAGGATGTCTCTTCACCCTATGGAATGTGCAGAAGCTTTTTAATTGGATGTGGTTCCATTTGTTGATTCTAGGTATTATTTCTTATATTAGGGTTCTGTTTAGAAAGTCCTTGCCTATGCCCATATATTCAAGAGTTTTGCCTATTTTATCTTTGAGCAAGTTAAATGTGCCTTAAGATTCAGATCTTTGATCCACTTTGATTTTAGTTTAGTACATGGTGACACAAGGGTCTTGACTCAATTTTCTGCATGTGGATATCCAATATTCCCAGCACCACTTGTTAAAGAGGCTATATTATGTTTTTGACCCCTTGGTCAAAGATCAAGTAGCTGAATGTGTCTGGGGTTGTTTCTGTATTCTCTTCTGTTTTATTGATCCACACATCTGCTTTTGTTCCAGTACCATGCAGGTTTTTTGTTTTTAGTTTTGTTTTGTTTTCATCACTGTAGCTTTGTAGGGTAACTTGAAATCTGGGACTGTTATGCCTCCTGCTTTGCTCTTGTTACCCAGGATTGCTTTGATGATTCTGGTTGCCTTTTGGTTCCATATGAATTTTAGGATATTTTCTCTAAATCACTGAGGACTGCTGTTGGTGTTTTGATTGGGATTGCATTAAATCTACACATCAGGAAGGAGAACCATGCCTGCTCCCAACCCAGCAGTCATCGCTCAAGCGCCAGGAAGGTAGGCCGACCAGATCCACCACGGCAAGGAGAACCACGCCTGCTCCCGATCCAGCAGCCATCGCTCAAGTGCCAGGAGGTAGGCCAGCCCGATCCACCGCGGGAAGGAGAACCACACCTGCTCCCGACCCAGCAGCCATCGCTCAAGCGCCGGGAGGTAGGCCAGGCCCAATCCACCACAGGAAGGAGAACCACGCCTGCTCCCGACCCAGCAGTCATCGCTCAAGCGCCTGGAGGTAGGCCAGGCCCGATCCACTGCAGGAAGGAGAACCACGCCTGCTCCCAACCCAGCAGTCATCGCTCAAGCGCCGGGAAGGTAGCCGCGTGGGCGCCCCTGAATCCCCATAATCCCCCCACCCGCACTCTCAGACCTCCTGACTGTGCAAGTCTTTGAACCCACTCTGCAAAGACAGGGCATTTTTCTGAGTTCCCAACTTTGAACATCTTTAAAGAAAGGGCGTGGGAAACCTGTAATAGAACATTGCAGAGTTCAACCATTCAGAAGGATTGGGAACTCAATCTGGGCCTTGCAGCCCGAGGTCAGTCAGCATCATGGGGTTCAGCCATCAGCTAACTGAGATCAGGGGTATTGCATCCTCGCTCTGTTTGAGCCATTAAATGGTAAATATACTATATTGAAAAGTTTGTTCACTGCAGACATGTTCTGGACTGCTTCTTGATTTCAATTTAATTCAGATGATTTAAGGGTGATAGACTAGTGACTACCACAGGTGGTCAGTTTCCAAGTTGTGCTTGATTTTAATGTGTTGCTGATTGTATCAGTTGGGGTAAAGCATTGCCGTTGATTTGATGAGCTGTTTTCTCTGATGTTATGAAGATGAGAATGTCTGTGGGTCTTTAGAGACACAGAAGCTAGGGTGCAACTATATCAGGAAGATTTGGGTGATAATACAGAGACTAAACCAAGGACAGTCTGACAACAAAAATTAAAATGAGAAAACACTTAAGCAAGACACAAGGACAGACTTC